TTTTTTTTTTGCAGTTTAACATATTATACTGATATTACATACTATAATTTGGGCCTTTCATTCAGTACTTGAATATTACTCAATTTGACTTAAATTTAAATGATTCTTCTTAAGCCATTTAATAGAAACCATTCATGTTTAATATAACCATTATTATATAATTATTCATGTTTTCATATAACCATGTAATGTATACTACTATTATTTTACTGTATTTATTTTAATACTAATTATTTATTCATAATAATTTGCTTTGTTTTTCAAAAAGGCAAGACACAAATTACTTTGCAGCTGTAATGTATTGTTTAATTTTAGAATTTTTTTTGGTGAAAAGCACAAAGCTGTGTAAAATAATGGTTTAGACCTGCGTGAGTGGGATTCGAACGCCAGTCCAAATAAATGCATGAAAAAAATCTGATTGGCTGTGACATCATTTCCGCTCTTTGGCCAGCTGTTGAAGTGCTTCAATTTCATTGGCTGTCAGGGAGTTACAACTATCCGCGGCGGCTAAAGACTGCAGCCTCTAGCGTCAGTCACTCACTAGTCTCTTGAGATCAGGGGAGTGAGGTTTACCTGCACAGCACCTACCGCTGGCCTTCGTTTTCACAACGCTACATAAAATGTTTTGCACAAACAAATGATGAAAAATACTGCAATATTCCATAATCCAAAATTCCATAATCCAAGATAATGCGGTCAATTTATTTCATGGTGACTAATGATGATTTCTGATTTCTCTCCCCCTATTGAAAGTTTGTTCAAGCAAAACTCTGGCCGCTATATTCATATGGATTTATTTCCAGCTGCTGTAGCGTTGTGTTGATCAGTGGAGGGTTGCTGCATCATACTGCTTGAAGATCTCAGAAACAATGTCTTTCTCAAGCTTTGTTAGCTCTTAGTGACATTATTAAGGTAGAGTAGCCCTGCATTACACAGTGAATTGTTTAGCTGTTAAGTGATTGACGTTTAGCTCAGTGGTTTATTGGACAGTTGATATGTAAAGTTTGGCTGCACAGCTTATTCTGTTGAAGCAAGAACAAGAAAAATATTTTATTGTATTAATTGCATTTGTCAGCATCATGTTGATGCTTAACAGTTTGTCTAATATTTAGTTTCTAGAAAGAGCACTTGATGGGAAAACAGCATATAGCAACCAGTAAGCATGTTCTTTCTGAGTATCTTTGAGTTAGTGACTAGAGAGTGATCAAAGCCTGTTTTAAAAGGCAAAAGTTTTTGTTGACTGCATTATATTCACTTCTCTGAAAACAGTTGTTCCACTGAAGCCTTCTCATGTTTGCTTGTGAGACACATTATCTTGTTAGGATGCAGTCCATATCAATGAGTTCTGGGTCGACCCGCTGGACAAGAGCCTCCTTCAAAGGGTAATTAACTCTGTTGTTAATTTCAGTTAACTGGCAGGTAACTAATTAAACCAAATAACTTGATGTTTAATCTATTGCAATCACACTTTGTTCTTTTACACCTTTTCAGAACAGTAATAGTTTAAATCTAAACCAGAACAGAATGGAACACACTTGTGTTGATGGGGTCTGACGATACGGTGGTGTTTCTGTTTTCACTCTGAGGTCAGCAAGGATTTCTTCAATAAATAGAGTCAAGAAGAACTCTTTGCCATGGTCCACTCTTATTTGGTCCCACATTCCATTGATGATTACAGCAGGCCTTAAATAATGATCAAATTCAAAAAGAAATGGTTCCCTACACTGACTCTTTCATATGCAATATATTCAAATGATATATATATATATATATATATATAAATATAAATATATAAAAGCCAGTAAGTTTTTTTTTTGTAATACAAACCTGTACACTTCTTCATAAATACTCAAAAATATTTCTAATTCAACATTTAATCTCAACAGTTCTGCTACTTTTTTCCCAATTTCTTGCAGAAGTTATCTATTCAACAACCACAACAAAAAACACTATCAGAAATGTTTCTTGAGCAGTAAATCAGCATATTAGAATGATTTCTAAAGATCATGTGACACTGAAGACTGGAGTAATGATGCTGAAAATACAGCTGCGCATCACAGAAATACATTACAGTTTAACAGATATTCACATGGAAAAGAAAAAGCTATTTTAAATTGTAATAATCTTTCACAATCTTACTGTATTACTATGTTTTCATACAATAAATGGAGCTGTGGTTAGCATAACACATCACTTCGTCGGCTTTACGTTTCGTAGATCCTGACGGCAGGTGAGTCATATCAAAAATATGAACAAAAACTATGATTATGATAGGCTATATTTTATGACATACGTGAAGCTAAATATACTGAACAAAAATATAAACGCAACACTTTTGTTTTTGCCCACATTTTTCATGAGTTGAACTCAAAGATCTAAGACTTTTTCTATGTAAACAAAAGGCCTATTTCTCTCAAATATTGTTCACAAATCTGTCTAAATCTGTGTTAGTGAGCACTTCTCCTTTGCCGAGATAATCCATCCACCTCACAGGTGTGGCATATCAAGATGCTGATTAGACAGCATGATTATTGCACAGCCCTAAGCCATAACCCTAACCCCAAGTCATCGGAGAAGAAGGAGTTTTCCCCCAGCGTCTTAAACAGACGCAGTACGAGTGAAGTATCGATAGGGAACATTATTTATGCATTTTTAACTGCAGTGCAAATGCATTCGTGGCATCTCTGAGCTACATTAAACGGTCTGTGTAAATACATCTGCCACTTCAGATGCAGCTTCTGCAGTGTGAAGATGGATTTTGTTGATGCTGAATTAGTTTGATTGGTAACAGCTCTACAGTGCCATTATATTTTATATTCTAAAAGAGAATGCATTCATTTCAAAAGTTAGAAAAGTAAAAAAAATAAAAAAAATCCCTAAAATCAGTTGAAGGTGCAAATATAACCTCCTAATGGAAAAGTTAATTTCTGTCACTGCTTATAGGTTTGGGATTATTTTTCAGCTTTTATCCTGGTTTCACTGAATATTGCAACGTGTTCTCCTTTTTGTTGTTATTGAAATGACCACCCTAGGAGGAAGAGAGAAAGAACAAAGAGCAGAAAGAGAGAAAGAACAAAGAGCAGAAAGAGAGAAAGAACAAAGAGCAGAAAGAGAGAAAGACCTCAAAAAAGCTTTCCCGCCTCCTGCAGTGAGATGGCGCCGACGATGATGGCTGCCTCCGTGGGGTGCTCCGCAGTTGTTTTTATGTTTTTGTTAGTTTGTCCTGTCTTTAGTTATATCCCTGCAATCAGTTTCACCAGAGATGAATTGCTGGACATTCGGCAGTACACACCACCCGATATTTCACCGGTTTTCGATTATTCTGATGTTTTGCTGGACATTGTAGTCGGGGGAGCTGCGGCGCTGATCAAGCGCTTTAGGACGGGGGAAGCGAGCCGGCGCGCTCGTGAAGCTAATGCAGCGCGGATTCAGAACGCCGTTGCCTAGCATCCATCTGGCGAACCTCCGCTCTCTACCCAACAAAACGGACGAGCTCCTTCTGCTCTCCCGGACAAATAAGGATTTTTCAAACTCTGCTGCTCTGTGTTTCACGGAAACCTGGCTGAAAGACGCCATTCCGGACAGCGCGTTGAGTCTGCCGGGCTTTCAGCTGTTTAGAGCAGATCACGACGCAGAATCAACGGGGAAATCGCGCGGCGGCGGGACATGCTTTTACATCAATGAGAGGTAGTGTACAGATGTAACTGTGTTAAAGAAGATGTGCTGTTCAGATCTAGAAGTGCTCTTCATTAACTGTAAGCCATTTTATTCGCCGCGGGAGTTTTGCTCATTCATTCTCGT